TTTGCAAAGGACTAAAGCTTAACCTCCCTTTAATATTGCTATTCATTTGCCGATCTAATAAAGATTGTGGTAATTAAAACGATACGGGGAACGTTCTCTAAATTGGCAAAGGTTGATTTTATTTTTCATCATACTGGTAATATTGTAGAAATGAAGCAAGTAATAGGAGCCGACAATCCTTGTCCGACGTATGACCCGGGTGACTCACAGTTCGTTGGTATTGCCACAGAGTGCAGCACCTACTGGCATTACAATTGAGAGACATCTAGTGAAGATATCAAAACCTACGTGATATCTCTTTCCAAGAATTTTCTCAATAATTCACTCTTGATATGATCAATTGAAATATTTCAATAGTCAATCATTATAACTCATAGTTGTTGTTTTTTGTTGGTTTTTTTCGACATGTCATCAACTCTGCTGGCCCCCGAATGCCATCCATTTCAAATTTAAAAAATTACAATTATTTACCATCGGTTGATCATATTTCACTAAAAATATTTTCGATTAACCACCCCTCACAACCTTTTCAACTTGAAAGTTAAAATTAAAAATTACATAAATACCATTTAACAGAGAGAGAGGAGAGAGAGAGGAGAGAAGAGAGAGAGAGAAGAGAGAGAGAAGAGAGAGATGAGAGAGAGAGTAAGAGAGATTTGGTAATTCAAATGTTTACTTAAAGATGTCCACATCGGTGTTGTCAACGTCGTAAAAGATGTTGGTTTGCCAAAACTGATAAACACGTTTTTGGTCATTTCTTTCCATATTTTAGCATATTTTTGCTTGAAAGCCTCGTGACAAGTTGAAATGAATAGTTACTGAACAATGTTTGGGTGATTTTCCTCATTTCCCTCCCAGTGGATACGCACTGGCAGTGGCGAAAAGTCCGGGCGGGCAGACCTCGGTGAAAGAGGGTTTTTTGACAATAAAGACGGCACACTATCTTCGGATGGTTCTTTAAGTTTGAAGCTTTATTGCATTTTATTCCTTTACAAATGAATAATACTTCGATATCTTGGCTCCTAATTCCGTATCAGTAAAATATTTGGCTGTGATATTAGATAAGAGGAAGAGTTACTTGGAAGCAACATTTTCAATACATAGTAACTACACCAAAGCAAAAACATCCAAACTCTTTCCTCTCATTAACAAAATTCCTCACTGCGAACGGACTATTAATATATAAATTTATAATAAGACCTACTTTGACTTATGCCCGCCCGGCTTAGCGCAATATAGGACCACCAATTTACCAAAGCTTCAGACAATACAGAATAAATGTTTAAGGCAGAATCGTTAAGCCCCTGTGGTTTACACCCAACTCCCAAATCCACAAGGAACTCCAAATTCCTTCAATATCTGAATATACACTACGTAATCAAAAGTATCCGGACACGTCCAAAATGGTGTTATGGTGTGGTTGGGTTTTTCATTCACCCCTTTTGTGTGGCACTATCACGGCACAGGCCTACGTTGATGTTTTAAACACCTTCTTGCTTTCCACTTTTGAAGAAAAAATCGGGGATGGTGATAGCATCTTTCAACACGATCGAGAACCTGTTCATACTGCACGGCCTGTGGTGGAGTGGTTACACGACAATAACATCCCTGTAATGGACTAGCCTGCACAAAGTCCTGACGTGGATTCTATCCAACTCCTTAGGAACGCAGGCTTCGTGCCAGGCCTCACCGAACTACATCGATACCTCTCCTCAGGGCAGCTCTCCGTGAAGAATGGGCTGCCATTCCCCAAGAAACACCTGATTGAAAGTATGCCTGCGAGAGTGGAAGATGTCATCAAGGCTAAGAGTGGGACAACACCCTATTGAAATCCTGCATTACCAATGGAGGGCGCCTCGAACTGGTAAGTCATTTTCACCCACGTGTCCGGATACTTTGATCACATAGTGTATATGCAATACATCTGAAAAATTCTATTATCTTCCTTCGTCATGTCCTGGCACCATCCATCTGGGAAAAATGCAAACCTCACACTTCGCATCCGACCTTGCATCCCGAAAGACTTCTTTTGCCTTCCATAGTTATGCAGACTTTCCACTCTCATCTACCCTCACTACACTAATCCAACACCTCACATCCTGACGCGCGCCTTCAAATTCAAAAAATTATTAAAATTGAATTTACAGCTGAGAAATGCGCCTTACATCGGTTCCGGATTACCGCAAAAGCAGACTAAGCGATTGTTAGGGGCCCCGTCAAATTGGGACCCCTTCAAAAGACGATATTTATTGATGTTTGTGGGGGATTAATATTTTTTATCGAAAAATACGATTATTCAAACCAACCAGCCCTCTGTTTAAATTCAATTTCATTAATAGCTTACGGCGCTGCTTTCAGTATTCTCCGAATTTCATGTTTTAACTTGACACAATAACATACAAAATAAATTGAAGGAGCTGTAGTGCTTTAAGTCGCTGTCTGTTTATTATATAACTGTGAGTGTATTCATAGTATTCATATATTACCTGTTATTATGTACCTACTAATTATGTATCGTGTAGTTTTCTTATTATATAGAATAAAAAAACGTTTGTTTATAATTGAAATATACAAGTCGCAGTAGTTATTTATTTCGTACACTGCATAAATACAGTACATGTACAAATAAGTGCATGTATAAATACATATTATATCTTGTTTACAGATTGGACGCTGCTGATATAACAGTGAACAAACTAACACCTGTAAAATATTGTAAATTTTAAACTTTCTGAATTTATTTAGAAAGTTCTACAATTCCGTCTAAATATTAGACGATTACCAAATAATAGTGAACATTCACGACCCTCCGAATCTGAGACTTATAAGAATAACGTATAAAGTCATGCATTTTTTCTTTTGGCCAATATACTAATTCTTTGAATGAAAATCATTTCTAAAATACTAACTTAAATCATTTTTATCAAATTTCGCACCCATTGCAAATGTCCATCTATAATGTAAATAATATTAGTGCAGGCAATTTAATAGGTCGAATCAAAATTTAATATGAAGAGAAGAGAATATGAATGGATCTCAAAAACGAAAACTAGCCAAGGCAGAAAGATGAGGAAATCATTAAGAAATTGCCCAAATTAACTTCGGTTTTTTCAACTACCTACATCATCTTCAACCTCACAGAATGTTCCTGATAGTGTGGAAGTGGAAGAGGAGTACCACTTTTTCCGTTGCGTCTAAACGAAATATTTGGAGTTAATGATAGAACAAATTGAAGCTAGTGGCATTGAGGCTAGTGGTGTTTACATCTCATTTTTTTTTATTTATTTAGTCAAAAAACAGTAAAAATTGTATATGACGTATTGGGGGAGATCATTTGCGCACGTTTTCTTGATTGCCAGAATCCCTTCCCATCATTTTAACAGTAAATAGTTGAAGGATGAGTGAAAGTTAAAGATAAATAAATAAAAATAAAATTTTAAAAAGAGCGAGATTAGCAACATCTGAAAAACTAGACATTTTCATTCAGAAGTTATATAAAACTTTCATGCAGATTTGATCTTTCTGCATTACTAACAAAATAGTAACTCACCTTTACATCTACTCCTACCACTACAGACAAAAGAAGAGTTCAACAAAATGTGGGCATAGTGAAGCTACATTTACGTCCAGAAGCAAAACAAGGGGCCATTTCAGCATTTGCTCAATGTATCAGGGAAACGACAAGAACCTGATCGATATGGGTATCAGTGACCCGGAAGCTTAAGTACATTATTTGTTACAAGCATATTAAGTATTTATTTTTTTTATTTATACACTACAAATGTAAACTAATTTATTATATATTACTATTTTATTCAAATAAACATTACTTTTCTTTTTGATGATCAATACAGTCGTCTAATTGTATAGAAACACAGCAGAAAAGATTTTACTTTTAAATTAAATTTGTGTGCAGACTTCAATTGCTTTATGTCATCTGGCAATGCATTGTGAAGTAAAGTACATGTATTGTATAAGGATTTCTGGTAGTGAGCTGTTGATACTGACACTTGATCAATACAATATAAATATCAGTATTGCATGAAAGTATGTTCCCACCATTTTGTAAGTCAGTTTTGATAAGTATTACAGATTCTTAAATAAATAGGCAAGGCAATGGTGATTTTTTGTATTTATTTATGTATTTAAAGAATGTAATGCTCCAGGACCAAGAAATTATTTGTCAGATACTAGGTTTTTACAAATAGCAAAGTGATTAACATTAAGATTATATTTAAAAATTAATTGTTTGAATTGATAAGAAAATAAAACATTGGTATAAGGTAATGAATTCATTGTTTCAAATGCATTCATAATGGGATATATTGGATGGCATTTATTTCTGGATGTTCAATTTATTTGTGAAATTATCCTTGCTTGTCTGTATGATGTGCTGGAAAGAAATAAAAAAACTTGCTTTTGATTTGATATGTATACATTCATTTATGCAGGGTGCCCAGAAGGGGAGGGGGGGGTTCAAAAACTTGCTTATAAGATTTCTGATGCATGACTATATTAATTCTGTTTGTATAGGAGGGGGGTTGGAACACAAGACCCCCATGGACCTTCTACTTCAGGCCCCTTGTTTTCTGTGGGTGCTCCTTCACTTGTCTGTAATTCTCATCACAAGAAAATTTGGAATCTTTTAGTAATGATTTTTCTACATTCATCCCCTATCGTCCCTGAAAATTCCATACTACTGACAAAAATAGTTACCATGTCAGGCTTATGAATACTTGGAAACTTCAATCCAAGGTGCAAAATTTTAAGTGTGAAATGTACTGCAAACTATTTTTATTTATTTTTACTATTATATGATGAAATAATTCTTTTAGACTTACTTGTTTATGTAATTTTCAATACTGTACAAGAGTGAAAGTGATTAAAGACAATTAAACTTCACTCATTAAGATCACTTTAGGAAATAAGTACCTGAACATCTTATATCCAGGACACCTGGATGAGTCCAGATAAAATAAAAATTGCAGACAGATGAAGTTCACGCTCAAAAACATTTACTGAATTAATAAAAGAAGATTTAGGAGAAAAAAATCTAGCAACAAAATCTTTCATACATCTGTTTTATTTTCAAAATATCAGTGTATTTTTTAATAAGAATAGCAGCTGAAAGTGAAATTCAGAACAACTAATCATTTCGTAAGAACAGTTCACAGAATTGAAAACTTATCTGCTGACAGAACACAACATTGCCACACCACTGTCTAATTGACATTTTAAGTGTCAGCCAAATGCTATTTTACAAGACAGCAAAATGTAAAATTTCACACCATGTTTCTTTAAACACAGTATTTAGTTGAAATAAAATGACAGAAATATGAGTGGAATTTCATTTCATTTGACAACTTTTAGAAGCGAGACATATCTTCCTCAAATCTCGTTCTCACAATGTTTTTAAACTATTCAAATCTGCACAATTGTACATTCCTCATATATACTGCACACTTGCTTGACCCAACTGTAGGTTCTTTTTCTTCTTTTATTAACTTTAATGTCAACACCATCAAACACACAGACCCATTCTTACACCATTACATGTTATCTACACCCTTGTGAGTATTAATATGAAGAAATAATATCATCACATAGTTTAAATGATGATTATATAGAAAAGTATGTGTAAAAAGTTGATTGAATCAAAGCCTAATAGGCGTGAGTTAGTAATAAAGGCACAAGGAGGGCCTGCTACGAATTTATGTTATGTATGTAGACTTTTTAATTTATTTGGTAAACTAATAAATTTAGTGTAAATTCTTCAGAGTCCATATTAGTATATGCACAAGGGTGTAGACTCACAAATTTATATTTCACTAATAATGGGAGAAATAAATTTATATCTATTTAAAATTTATAAGTATAAGGTTCTGTAGTGGTAACTTATTTAAAAATTTACAAGAACTGCAATATAATGCATTTTCACATAAATAAATGGTAATTATCAGAATAGATAATGAATATCACATAAAACTTCATGCACTTTGCAGTAAGAAATTTTTGGTACTTGCCAGGTAAAGCTAAACCAAAGCAGTCTATTTTCTCATAAAGGAGAAAATTAACTTGTCATAAGGAAAATCAATTAATATTTATCATTTCAGTATTTGAACTCTAAAATGACTTTTGAAACCTAAAATTTATTTTTTCTGTAAATATTTTCTATTAAAATGACATCAGTCTGAATTTCATATTCTATAACAAGACAGTTAAAATCAGCAAGCACTGAAAAATAGCCATGTTACTAATTACAACAAGAACAATATTTATCTGAATATAATATGACTTATTTTTATGACTTGGTATTAGTCCTCCAAAATTTACTTGAAAATAAAACAACCCACATCTTTGCAATTGGAAATAAGTTTACAACAAACAAAACTTTAAAAAAATACATCTACATTTTTCATACAATGTGTATATATCATACGTAGTATGTATATAATCTACATGAATTAAACTTTTGCGGCTCTGACTCCCATTACAATTAAGACAACCCACATTTTTCTAGGAAATGAAAACTGGCAATAATACTACTTGTCAGATATTTGGGTAAATATGATATTTTCATAAATATGACAATATAAAATATACATATTAGACAAAATATTATATGGCAAAATATAAAACAAACTCTAAAGTCAAAATTATTTAATACCAATGATCACTTAATCACTTACTTAATCTTTTTTGAGCATCTCCCCCCCCCAAAAAAAATTCTAAATACTGATTTTAAACTATTTGCTAGTTCTGCAACCAAGAAATAATAATTATAAAAAGGAAGTCACAAAATTCATACAACTGAAGGAAAAATGTTTCATAATTTCAATGCACAAATTTCAGGATTTTATGAATTTAAAAATATTACAACATACTGTAATTGATATTATAGCAGTTATGTTCTCAAAGAAATACTAAAAAATTCGAGTATCCCCAACACTCAAGAATATTTAATGCATTTCTCATTCCTTGATTACAATGCTGATGCATGTCAACTAATATTTGTTATTACATCAAATTTCAAAACATTGTTGAGATACAAAAACCTCAAGTATTGTGCATATAATTGATAATGAATTGCTAAAAGTGGGAAGAAAGAAAAAAGAAAAGATAAAAAAGAAAAAATCTTAATGCAACCAAATGATAAAATACTGTAACTTCTACCATTCTCATTGTTTAACACAAATTATCAATTAGCAGTTTTCTCTTTCCCCACACCTTTTCTCTGATAAAAAAGAAAACTGATAAGAAACTCAACAGGACAAATTTACCAAACTGAAGTTGTAAAAAACTCAAATTAATAAATGTCCTGAACTTCTTCTATATATATATAAGAAATTCAGATCTGCAGGTACTGGACTTAATGGCACAATTTCTTACTCATGGGAACTTTTTTTTCCTTCTACACATTACATTTGCTGTTCTACTTTCTATCTTTTAATGATTTTGTCACTAGTTTTAGTTCTACTTTTTATTACTTATGAAATGATATCAAAATAATGAAAATTGTCATACTTCAGAAACTTAAATAAAAGTATGGTTTGATGACATAATAAAATATTTAATCCTGCAACATAAACGGAAATAATCAAAGTTTACTCAACTTGCATCGACAATACATCAATAAACAGTATACTTTCTAACTATTCACAACCCTAAATTTTAAGATTTCATTCCACTGCTTGTAATAAAGGAGGGTAATAAATGCTTGTAATGCAATAAAGGCTTCAATTCAATTTACAAATTTGCCATTTTGACTGGCCTACATTGTATAGTTTGAAAACAGCATCTTGCAGTTCAACATACAACTAGTTAGAGATTCAAAAAATAGAATCCACTAGGAATTCCATGTCGTAGTACGAATAACACATTTCGTCTCTTTTCTTACCATTCATTCTTCTTTCAAATTATGGTAAAAATGTCTGGACAAAACTCCTTTTATAATAAGAGATGTTGAAAAAGAGTAAATTTCACTTTGGTCAATTTTTTAATACTGGTCTTTTAAGTAGAAATGATTGTTAGGTACTTGCCTCATTCTCATTCCCACTCATAAATAAAGTGAATTATTAATAACTGTGCATTTAATAACAATTCACGTTTCACAATAAAATTTGGAGCTTTTAAAATAACACATAGATAAAGCAAGGGGTTGCCCAATACTATTCTGCTAATTACTAAAGCATTAGTAATTCCATATTCATGTACAATTTATACTTACAATTACAAATATACATACTGAGCAGTGATGGATATGTAAAAGACTCCATGACTAGAGATGCAGTCTACTGATTTTTTAAAACACACACCAAGGGTTATCTACACTGTGGTGAGAAACAACAACCACTCAAAAGGCACGGCTACTTGAGTGAGGAAATCTAGTGGGAAAATGCTTAACTTTGCTGCCAACACTCATCAGTGAAAAGTAGATCAATATATGAAAATAATAATGTAAACAAGGCTCTAAATCACTGCAAGTGAAGGTTGTGTGAGACTTCATATAATTAAACATGACTTAGTTGTTGGAAGACTTGTTTTTTCTCTTAATGTTTCTATTCTCATACACTTTTGGAAATTTTGCAATTACAGCCCCCATGGTTTGAAAACGTAGCATTGCTTGAGCACTGGAACTAACACAGAATTACACACCATGGAACACTTAACATTTTATCTCTCTCAAGCCAACTTTTCATTAAGTAATTTAAGCCAGGAGCTTGTCTGCTATTGAACTTTCATAAACATGCATAATTTCAAATTTGCCACGATGAAACTCAAAATGATAAATTTAGAATAGAAACAAACACATCATTTCTTCAATTAAAATGAGAACGTAATGGTTTCTACTATGGTTTCACACACAATAGCTGCATTTCACCTGGAAATACTTGAATTATCATTTTCAATGTAGTTAAGAACTGAAATTATCTTTAGTCATGACTGCTTCTAAAAGAGAAAGACAACCATCTACTTTATGACCTCTGCGTTTCAGATCATTAAGCCGAGCCTCAAGTGGCCTCTTGTCACGTCCAAGAGTCCACCACAGGCGTACACATAGCTGAAGCAAAGGGACATAAAACTGCAAAAGATCTACATCACTAACAGCTTCAAATCTGTGAAGAGCAAGATCAGCGAAGCGTTCTGGTGTGGCTGAGGTAGGATCTGCGTGACTGCAAGCTACCAGTTGACAGAGGGCTAACATCACAGCTGGGTGTCTGTCAGTGTGAATCTTGTTGAGCAATCGGAAAGAATTTTCCAGCAAAGGCACAGCCTGATCATAGCGTTGAGTCTCCATCCATCTGCGAGCTTCACGTTGTTCTCTCCCTTGAAGAAACTCTGTGAGACTTGACGATTCTCGCAGCTTTTGTTCTCTGACTGCATGTTCCAAAAGACCCTCAAAACCAGCACTACGTTCTGATATTACTCCAGGAGCAAAGTTTCCCAAAATAACCTTCTTCGGAAAAGTCACATCTAGAATGAAAGATATAATTTAAATTATTAACTGCACAAAAACATGCATTAACAACAGCCATATCATTTTCATTAACTTACAATAATATCAACAAAGGAAGAACACAGTAATCCTAATATATAAAAAATGGATGGCTGTTAGTGGGGAAGTGGGTTTGTTCTGCAAAAACTTTTGAAATACTGGAGCAATTACTCTCAATTTTTTATGAATGCTTTTGAGAAGTTGCGAGAGAAAAGGGGATTTTGTGAAACCAAAATGTCACTTCAAATTTGGTTACATCCCAAAATGTTAAAAAAACTTTTTAATTAAAATTAATTATCCAAATCACAATGTGCCTAGTTACCAATAACCTGGAGCCTTGGCGCAGTTCTGAATGAATTAGAGTGGATACGTGGGATATGGTGGATGGAAGGGGTGGACATGAAGGACAGCTTAATAGTTGATTGTGACAAACAAATACCCAGGAACAGATGAATACATAATTGACATGGAATATACATCTCTATAAGACAGAACCCTGACAGACCGCCATCAACACACAACCAAAACTAGCGAGGTTAGAAGTGTAAAATGAGGCTTCTCTCTTCCCAAAGATAGTCCTCAAAGATTGTGGTCCACAATCTTTGAAGATTATCATACTTTTATTTATCATTTTCTCCAGCAAGGTTTCATCTCAAGTTCTTTTATATCCATACATTTATTTTTTACCTTGGGTAGTATCTACATAGTACATTTCAGTTTGAGTCACAGATCCATGTCCATTCTGATAGCAAGTATTAATGTTGTGACAGTTTTTCAATTTTGATGAAGACATCCTGTTATTCATTAAACAGGAAGACATCAGGACACTTGTTCTGGATTTCCTTGCTGAAGTCAAGCCAATTTGTCAGTATATTATCATTTAAGATGGTGATATCATTGATCTTAGAGTGTTTTATGTTAATTTCAACTGCCTTGATTGAGGATTTGTCTCTCTTACTCAAAACTCTGGGCTTATCTCCATTCAGCAGTAATGATGTAGCAATAGAGATAAAAAACGTACAAGCTGAACCTGTGATTGCATTGCACAAAAGCAAGAGCTGTAGCAAAGTCACAGCAGAAAAGTACTACATATTTCCTAAGCAGAAAATCAAAAATATTGTTTCTTGTTATTCATTTGACTGCTAATGATGACTACAGACCTTGCCCGCAGTTCATGCCGTGACTGTTAGCAGCGACTAGTCTATTTTATTTTCCTAGCATCAGCTGAGGGCTGAGCGATTTATGACTTCGGCCCTGTTAGGTACCCTCTCTACCTGCCATCCTCAACTCAAACCTTCTGTAAATAGCCTCACTCCTTGTATTGCTTTCCTGCATATCATACATTCTGCATCCTGGATTTGTATATTTGAGTTGCACCTTTTAATTTGGTTATGCTCTTCAGATTTCGGTCCGAGGTTTTTCCTTGGCTTTGATAAGGCTTTTGGTATTAGATACATGTAGCAAATAACAATGAATAAACATTCTAAATAACAAAACCGTTCTAAAGCAACCTCTTCTCACAACTTCACCAGAGCCAGTCGCAAGCCCTGATCCCAAAAAAATGGAAAGCAGTCCCTGAGCCCAGGAAGCACGTAGCACCAGCGCAGAATCTACATTCACTAAGCACCAAGCGGAGGCCCAGGCGCAACTGCATAGCAGTCAAAGGGTTAAAAACATCATACAATATGTATAATTATGATCACAGAATGTTTTTCGTAAATGGACAAGCGAGTCCAACAATTGCTGAATATTGTATATTCTCTCACTAATCAATGCATTTAAAAACAATCTTCAAACTTCAAAAATTTACAATGATCACCTCACCAACTATAAACTCATGATGCAACGATATCCTTGCTTCGTGTATACCTTCACATTCACGCACTTGCTTGCACTAATGAAAAAATGTCAACAGCTTTCGATAGAAGGTTACAATCACAAAACGAAATGACCAAGACCCACAATTTTATTGTAGTTGATCTTGAAAATCGCCTGCTGAACAATTGCAGTCAGGTAAAGATTCATTCTATTTATTTTAATGTATTATTAAAAAGTACTGTTTTTACTATGAAACCATTAAGGCTAAATGAACTGAAAAATACTTGCAGGAAAATTCAATATATTGTAGCCCTCTGAAAGAGAAAAACATTATAGTTAACATATGAACTAATGGCCTAATTTTCAATCTGTAAATGGCATTTGACTAGTTTTTAATAAAGAATTTACGCTGTAAACCAAATTAAAAATTGCCAAAACTTGTTTCTCAAATTGCTTTTCATAATCTTGGAAAGAAATACAAAAATGTTGACTAGCAGCCTAATGGTGACTGCTTCCTAAACCCAACACTGTTTCAACCATCAAAATCAGATAAAAAGGTGCACAATAAAGTGAAATTTGGTAAATGACCCCAGTCCCCATGACCCCAGCCATGCTGCTGCCACACGTGTGCCCTCCGTGGTACAGTGGCATGAGAGACAGCAAGAGGTAGTGAGGCAGTAGGAGCGCAAGTTTCTGTTGAGGGCTGTCAGTTAATAAAGTCACTATTTTCCACATCTCAAAAAAAGGTTTTTTTTTAAGGACAGACTTTCTTAGAAGCAATATGTACCTAAAATACTGTGTGATAATATGGAATATTGGTGATATTTACACAAAAAGGTAAATTGTCTTTTTGAAATTAAGCACCAAAAATGTTTTGTATTTTAGATATTTTTGTTAAGTTAGACATGTAAATATTGAAATATACTTAATATAGTAATACGCACTTGTCTAACATTAGTTAGTATTCATTCTACATAAACATCTTTTACAACATGATATTCTAAATATTTAATATCTTGTAAATTCTCTATAATCTTATCCACAACATTCTGACTCTCATACACAGTTCCCGTCTACATGCCACTGTTTTGTTTTTTCAGTTGACAATTTAAAACATATTCTAATCTGTATTATGATTTTGTCATTAGTAAAAAAAAGCGTAAAAATCCATTTTGATATTAAATTCCTCAATCAACATGGTTGTTCCATGCCCTAAACAAGTCATTAATCTGTATATTAAAGGTGGCAGTGATAAGCAACAGCCTTTCATACTCCTCTGTCAGAATGGCAGCAAGCTTCAGTAAACTTCCCTCTTAATACTAATCACGTATTTATTTCTTTACAAACATTTTTTATATACTCCAACAGATATTTCGGAATCCTCTCCTTTTTACAATGTCCTATAATTTCTGTACAACATTATTCAAGCACTCGGAAGTCCACATGCAATAAATGCACCTCATTATTGAGTTCTCTTCTTTCTTTCAACTTTATTATGTTCACATCACCATTATTACTATCAAAATTATTACTTATACTAACTGTTCATTAACGTTGGAAACTCTCTCTTCAGCGATTCATAGAGTTCCAAAAAGTCCGTGTAACGTCTTTCTATGACAGCAGGATGTGGATCCTGCACGGCACCATCCTTTCTCACCATTACAGTGTAAGCCTTCAATTAAAAAAAGAAAACCAATTGAAGAAACATTTGTAAGTTTTCATAAATTAATTCACAAATGATTCTCCATTCCACTGTGTTGAGTACAGTTATGAATTGATCTTGTTTTTACAAAATAAAATTATGAAAATAAATTAATTGTTTCTGGTATTAAGATTACCAATTTATATTTTTTTATACCATACAAGTCTCCTCAATACATCAATTACTATTGGTAGGTGATATTGCAATAGTGGATTAGAAGTAAAAAAACAGCAAGTTCTCATTACAAATGCTGAAGTTCATCATATATCAAATGCACCCTCTAAAAATCCAACAACAAACTTGTATTTTGATCAATACTGAATTATAATTTAATATTTAGTTAATATTAAAGTTATAAAATTGAATATAAAATTTTAGTTGTTATTGAAGTTATATTGGAACAAAATTTAACATTTATATTAATTTTAGGAACTCTATATTATTTTTATAACAGTACAGAATATTACTTCATTACACAGTGGAATTTACTTTTCTTCTAGTGACTAATAATTTTGAGAAATAGTATGATTTATCTACTTTTGCCTTATTATGAGTTATAATAATTTAAAGCGATATTGGTTGTCAAATTTTCAGTTAGTATTATAAATTACTGAAAATTGTTTTGTTGGTTCATTGATTAAATATTATAAAAAGACACAATTTGGGAAAATTTTGATTGAAAATACAAAACAATTTTAGATTTGAATCAATAAACAGGATTAAAGTTCATTCATTTGATTTCATCACTACCCTAGAAAATAAATAAATGGGTTTTAAATACGATTGTCAAATAATAGTAAATCTATTGTGTCCTGTTCCTGCCCTATCAACACACTACTTGAGAAACACTGTACAACAACACAGCAGTTGAGAAATATTTTGTTCCTCTTTGTACTTTACCACATGTTTTTTCTCATTTTCCAAATCAACCGTTCGTGCAGACACAACTTCAAATTTTAATACAGGATAGGCACACACTTCTTCATCAACCCCATTACTATTCGTTACAACGTCTTGCGCCATTACTCCTCGAGGGACTTTTGCCCACGATCCTAAAAATAAAAATAATAACATCTTAATACACTTTTTTCACACATTTTGCTTCTCTTAATTAGTAAATTGCATGGTTTCAATACAAATCTCTTTGTTTACACTAGCATACTTTTTGAGAATACAATTAAGTCAAGATAGCTGAATGATTCAGAAAGATACATTGCATTATGGAAGACTTTAACCCTATAAATATCTTAATTAACCACTTTGTTTTCAATATTTTTCTACGTGCAGTATCTCTGTATTTCAATTCAATTATACAAATACCTTTTATATGCAAAAACTTTTTTTAATTTTAAAACAAGCAATAAAAAAACAGAAAACCAATCACAATAGTAACATTAAAAAACAACTTCCATTTAAAATAAGTATGCGATTGATATTTGTAGAAATAATAATCACAGCAATTGATAGTACATTTTGTTTGCAAATAAATAATTAATCAGGATACTGAACAAATGAATAACCTTATTTTAAACCATTTCGGCCCAAGTAATTTTTTTTCTGAAAAGTGAAATTTCACATAGAGATCTCTTCAAAATCACTCTCAGACACCTAATGTCTATGATGATTTTACCTGACTTTACATCACTATTATTAAAACATTATCAGTCCTCATACGAGAACGCTGGATGATACAGGAATCACTTATCATGCACAGACGAAATGTTAATTGGGGAACAGGAAAATGTTGAAATTTCTTGTAATTTTCTTTTCATACTTTGTATGTATTTACAAGGATGCAAAACATTTCTTATAGAATTTTTGAGACTTCCAGCTTTAATTTATCTTCTTTGGTATGTCACGGTCTTGCCCATTGAAACACATATGGTTAATCAATATGAAGTTGCAAGTCGCTCCGGGGCATATCCAGAAAGAATTGAAGGAGGGGTCATTTTCAGTTTGGCCACTCCCATATTGTTTTTACAATAAAAAATTGTTATCTTCAAATAAAAAATGTGAATTCATAATACGAATACCCTTTTCAAATAAATTTTGATGTGCCAAGGACCTTCAATAAATTCAGTAAAATTGGGGGGAGGTATTAGATTAAGGAAGTCCCTCCACCTTTTTTGCTACACCTATGATACCAGGTTTAGCTAATACCTAAGTTTAGCACTTGGTTCTGTGAGCATGCATACAAATTCTTCAGGCATTGAGAACTATGTTATTATAGTAAAAATGAGCCAATGTCAATTTCCCACTATTCTGTCGAGATGGTCAAGGTAGTGTATGTTTTCACAACTTGAAGTTGGTACACAGAGACTCAAAGCTCTCACCAATTGTTATTACCAAATTGTAATTTCCATCAAATAAAGAGTATTTCTCTGTTCTTGTATTGGTAATCACAATAACCCCTTAAAATTCTTCATTTCTTTGAATGGTTTTCACTTAGTTACTAATCTCATTATCATTCGGCAACTCGGCATCACGGTTTAGAAACATGTATAAAGAGATTCTGTTTTGCTTTTTATACTTCACAGTTTTCAATTTTTGACAGTAGCCAACATTTCTGAATATATAGTAATGTACTAGTAATTCCATCTTTCCACTCACATCAATTATTTCATTTGATTCTTCACCTACTTTAAGTAGTTCTTGCTCTTCATTTATTTTGTCTCTGTAAACTTTACAACTGAAGGCAGCATTTTTGTTTGTTTTTGGAGCATACAGTGACTTCATGAAAACAATACTAAATAGAATGATACACTAGTAAATAAACACAATTATTACTGATATCCCTGACTAACAGACCAAAGTGGTGCAGAACTAAAATAACTTTCAATATTTCAAAAATTTCTGCAAAAGTGATTGGTTTACTTATCATGATGAGAAATCTGTAATTAAAAATTAATTTTTTATGAAATTTGTAGTTGCAGTACTGAAATGTTTAAAATACTCGTGGAAAATTGTGAACATTTAAAATACCTTCCAGGCCTTATAGATCTGTGTGGTACATCTAAGAGGTAAATCTAATGTCAAATAGATTGCATTACGAAAGAAATCGTTAGTTTCATTACAAAAAGTGTAAGACAGGTAGGAACAAGTTCAACTTTTGCAATTTTTTTTAAAATTCAGTGTTTCTAATGTTTATGATATACCTTCATCATATTCACAAATACACTATCTTCTATTCAAACAAAAAATATAAAAACAATTGACACCATTCTTTAGAAAAAACTAAGATGTTATCCCCTACAATGAAAAGATGTCTTTAAAATTTGCAGGGACGCAGGTTTGACAAGATCAATTGAAGAAGATCTGTTCTGAAAAAAGTCTTGTGTACTGTTTAGGCATTAGTGTCAGTACCGGCAGGGATCTCAAAATGCACATTTCCTTCAAAATCATTATACTGATTTTCTGCTGCTCTAAATTCATAATTATTGGTTGGAATCTATACTCTGTATATACTAGTGTATTAGACAGTAAAAGTAACTGTCACATAAAAAAAATTGAATTGAAGAAAATTGTAGTAAAGTAAAAAACAGTATTTTTCAAATGACCAACAATAAATTACAAAAAAAGATGCAAGATCCCTTGAAACAAGATCCAAAAAGTGGCACTGTCTACTGAGATTTAATAAAGAAATGAAGTTGCATTATCAAATTCAAATATAAAAGGCAAATGAGAAACAACTACAAATGAGAAAAAGACTGCATAAATGAGGAGATTTGACTTAAATTCTTCTGAAAACATTCTCACAGCATTTTCTATATGAGAAGAACATATAAATTAGATATGTTTCAGTGATTCAGACGAATGTTTTTGTTCCCAATTTTATTCTCAGGCTAGAAATATGGATTGTGTAATCCAAAAGAAAAAACATTGGTTGGAATTTAAATCAAATAAACAAGAATCGCTGAACAAAAAAACAAACACGATCTTGAAAATGATCTTCACTTAATACTGATTTATAGATATATATTCAGTTAGGTAATATTATATGAAATAAATCGTTCCAAATACAGTACTTACTTATGTACGCACTAGCTTGACTGTGAACTCCAGGGGATTCGTTAAAACTAAGTGTTCCTTGTTCTAACCGTGTATCTGGTTCGTCATCAACCAAAGTTTCGAGATCTTGATTCATTCCAAGTCCGGCATTGTTTTCTGCAAAAATATTCCTGTGCAATGTTTACAGGTGAACTACTGCTGCCCAAACAAAGAACCACAGACCAGTTTCAAAATAACACAAACTGTTGTCAAGAATAATGACATACCAGTCATATTTTAGCAAGGACATCAGCACCCTACGCAATGACGCTTCACCACTTGTCAAATTATTGTCACCACCAAGACCGTAAGGGAAGAAAGAAGCTGTTGAACAACGAAACCACCGAAACTATGCGTCGCACAAGCACGTACCATCTTCTAGTTCAGAACAAAGGTGTAGTACCTTTGACAGTGATCACAAAATGACACACCATTTATTTTCTTTTTCCACAGATGTACTTGAAAATCAACATACTACCAACGTACTACTCATTGCTCATTGCCCTTATAGAATTGACTAAAAATGCAGTACTGTTGCGATTCATCACAAAGACGAAATTAATAAATCCACAATTACCATCGTGTAAATCTTTCGAGTTTTGTTGACAATTTACTCACAAATAATGTAATATATTGTGCATCCGTGAGAGAAAATGGTGCTAAGAAAGACAAGCAAATTTTAATTCCACCACAATAGTTCAAATAACCTTGAAAAAATTATATATATACCTCATACACATCCAATGAACAATGACTTGATCTCCCTCGACCCCGCTTCCTCAACCTCTCTTCTGCTCTCTTCTCTAGTGGATCGTGTTGCTTGCTCCTGCTCCTGACCAGAGAGTATCCTCCTTACTCCTGACCTGACCCTTTCTAGCAAATTGTTTGTCTCTTTGTTTACTCGTTGCATTGCAAGATGCGGATGATTCACCTCTGATTCACACGAATGACTCTTGCTCATATAACGTAGAGGAGAGATACAAATCTACTCTATGGCATAGAACACATTCATCCGTGTGCAATGTTGCCCGAAACCAAAGCCGTCGTCGTTCGAAGGCAACAAAAGCTTTGCCTGAACCCCCTAGAATGCCTCTGAACTTGCTATTGGAAGTAGAGAGTATATTGGAAGTTCCAAGAGAAGGTCGGTCCCGGTTCGATCAAACGAAAGGGTGTGTCACGCTCGTGATAGAAAGTTAATACTGTACAGCACAGTGTAAATAAATAAAGACAAACAGTGTTATGGGTAATTAATATTATCTAAAAGAATATGTTTTCTGCTTGTGTGCAGTATGTTATGAGAATGAGCATTTCACAGTGGTAATTTAAGTGTTCACAGTAAAACATTCTAGATTGTTTTATTTGTGATGGTTTTAGGGTTACCATATTTCCAGTGAAAAGAGGACAATTCATGTAAAATATGTTAATATAATATTTTATTATTATTAAAAAAATATGTATTGAAGAAAAAAAAAGTTCAGTCAACTTTATCACACAGTAGGCCTTCTTCATTATCATTAGAGGTTTTTTCCACTTTTATACCAGAAGTATTTGGTGGATGATAAAATCTCCTTCAAGAATTAGAACTACTTTTCTTTGCTTTGAATCTTCCAACAAATGCTATGAACTTTCTTAAGTATACTATCATTAAACAAGACTTTTATTTTGGCATCTTGCTCAAAATATAAATATCCCAGCGCAGTATTAACTCCATAGACAGTTGAACTTAATTAACACTGAGAACAGAATCTGTAACCAGAACCAGTATAGAGTGCATTGTACAATATGTTGTACTAGCTTATGGGAACACTGTCTTATGTCATCGAGTAATTAAATGACTAAATGTAGATATAGTTCATGTATGAATTTTGGTGCTTGTTAGGTGAGGAAGTTAAATGTCATTTATTTTTACAACCATGAAATCATCACGACATCATCCTTTCCCAAACAGTTTTTCTTACTTCCAAAACAGGGCTTATGGTAACCCTAAGTGGTTTGTTATGTTGACATTATTGAATCTCCTGTTCAGAGACACTAAGAACCTCTTTTATAATAAGAAGTATAAACAATATAAAAAAACAATTTGGGCTACAACTTATGAATGAGAAAGCTTGTCAATTAAATCATAAAGTTAACAACTCAACAAACAAATCTAAAACATTGTGGAATATAATCAACATTCTCAAAACTCAGACTCACAAAAACATAAACCTACTACAGGCATGTTCCTTGATGATCCTTCTGATATTTGTAAGACCTTTAACTGTCATTTCTTAAGTTCAAATCAGGATACTGTAACAAATAGTAGTAATTATTTATCCTCTGGAACTTCAAACCCTAGGTTTCTACATCACACTAATTGACTGATAAGTTCCTTCAAAATAGTTGCTCATAGGGGAATGATGAAATGTCTTCTATAATTCTTCAAAAATGTAAGCCTGCTCTTCTCGATATATTAGTTTACTTAATAAATTCATCTCTATTAGTATTCACTTTCCAGGAATTCCTAAAAGTTAGTATTGTAAGACCAATTGCAAAGAATAATAATACACATGATGTTAGGAATTATCGACCCACAACCCTAACTTCAGTATTTGGCAAACTGCATGAAAAAGTTTTATTACCAAGACTTATTTGTTTTCTCTCATCTAATAATATCCGTAGCAAATCACCACATGGCTTCAGGAAAGGCTTCTCAACCACCACTGATGATGTGGAATTCATGAAATCATTGGAAATTTGGAATCAAATAGAAAAACAGCAGTTATATTCATTGATCTTTCAAAGGCATTTGACAGTGTATCTCATGAAAAACTGTTGACAATACTAGATTATTATGGAATAAGGGGTGGAGTAAATGATTTCATTAGATAATAACTCTAAGGACGTTAAGCAACGTACAGAGATCTTGTGGCTATCTGAAAATTTCTTATCCAAAGTTAAATCAAATTTTAAAACAACTGCCACAAGTGTTCCACAAGAATCTGTGCTTGGAACTTTGCTATTTCTAATACATGTTAATGATATTCCAAGCTCATCTGATTTCTCTGTAATCTCTTATGCAGATGATACAATATTAATAATGAGTGGGCAAAATCTAGAAATCTAGAAACTAATGTGATTGAATCAATAAAATCAATTCAAAATGATTTGATATAAATAAATTGAAATTAAATGTTGATAAAACTGTATTAATCAATTTCAAGTTTCATCACAGTTATCAACACCAAAACATTAAAGTGGAACTACATAATGAATCAGTGAATCAAACTGACTGCCATAAGTTTTGGGGAATATTCATAGATCAAAACCCAACTTATTACAAACAAGTTGACACACTTTGCATTAAAATAAACTAAAACATATTCCTCTTAAGATACTTTTCCAGATACGTGGAATCAGATGCACTTCTTTCAGTCTATTAAGGGATATAATATTTTCCCAAGTTCAATGTGGTATTGAAATACGGGGAGGTATGTCACAAAAAAAATATGGATAGATTAATGACCCTACAAAAAATATGTATCAGAAGCAGTTTCAAACCAAATCCGAGACAGTCCTGTAAAGATTCCTTTACTAAATATGAATTACTGAAATATTGTAGCACTTTTCTCTTACAAAGTAGTACTACTTTTGAGAAATAATCAGAATCAATATGTTGTGAGTAAAAAAGAAGTAAATAACTACAATACTAGAAGGCATAGGGACTATGTCAGGATATACCCTAGCGAGTCTTCAACTAACAAAGATCCTTTCTGCATTGCTGCACAGATTTTTAATAAACTCCTAGTTACCATAAAATCAGCTGATTATATATACTTCGAAATATTGCTTAATGTCACCTTATTAGTGTGTCCATATAAGATATCTGAATTGCTTTTAATTCTCTGTAATTAAAAAACATGTACTACTACAAGAGTGACCACTCAGTACCCACCTTTCATTTCAATAAGGCAATGTACTAACTTGTAATGTAGTAAAAAA